GGGAAGGGGATCCCTTCCGTAAGTGGCTGCAACAATCACAGCAATCAGCTGGCGCTTGCAGGGGGGGCACTGGTGCTCCTGCCTACCGCCGCCCCGCCCATCGCCTAAGCAGCAAGCACAGCTGGTCAAGGAGTGCATGCACCCCCGTGCACCCACTATGTGTTCCCACTGGGCACTTTAACTCAGGGGTTGCCAACCACTTGGCCGTGGAACCAATGCTGGGCCATGAAGGCTTGGCTGCCAGTCTGCAGGACAGCTGGCTGCCAGACCGAAAGTGACTGTGGACCAGCAAACTGGAGACTGGAAGTGACTGGCATACTGCAGACTGGCAGCCAACCGTTTTTTATATTGAATATAAAAAAGGGCTGGCTACCTGCCTGCAGGTCACTTCCGGTCCGCAGTTCGCCAGTCCTCAGCATAAAAATGTTGGGAACTCCTGCTTTAACGAAAGTTCATTGAATGAGCTTTCGTTAAAGCGCCCCGACCACCCTTTTTAAACACAGTGTCCTGAATGCATGAGGTGAGGCAGATGTTTTAATTAAACCAGCTCCTGAGAGCCGCTCTAATTAAAATGCCACCCCTCTCACCTGTGCCCAAACCCTAGTGCATGTGTATAGGCGACCCCAGAGTCTGCTTACTTGGTGCTAAAATCCTACCCTTTAAAACAATGGCCTGTTTCCCATACAAGTTGTGGGAGAGATCTTCATTTACAGAGATGAAGCTGACCTCCCATTTAAGTTTCAGTTTTATCATTCAGTTTAAGTTCATTAAAGTTGCTAGCCTGGACCTGGAAGACTCTGGCTCAATTTCCAGTCCTGCCACTGACATCCTGGATGACCTCAAGCAAGTCACTGAGTCTCCCCCTGTAGGATCTATGGGGAGAGCACTCGAGAGCTTTATTAAATGTCATGTCTTTGATTAGTATAAGGCTCCATTTAAAGAGTCTCCTCTCCTGGCCAGTACCTAACTATATAAACTCTATCCTCAGTCTTAACTGGCTTCCATGAAACTCCTGACCGAATGGGCTGACAGCCATTTCTTATTTATGCTTCTTTTATATGAACAGGGAACAGCATGAAGATGGCACACCAGCTCAAACCTCTTCTGTAAAGCAGCGAGCAGCATTGGTTTTACCTCTGTGCTCCCAGCGCTTTGATCACTGTTGAAAGCAGTCGCCCATCTTTTGCGGTCACTTGGGTAATGTACTGGGGTCGCCCAATGTCGGACTCTTCAACGGACTTGGACAAAGTGGCACTTCCCGGACAGTCACACAATGAGCCAGGAAGGTGGCAGCAGTCGCCTGTCGTCATGGCAACAAAGAGCACCCAACTCCTTCAGAGACTGAACCTCACAGTCATGATAGGCCTGGAATAAAACAAGACAAGAGTAATAAATAGAGGTTCCTGAGCCATGTTACTGCTCCTGCCAGCTCCAGCTAGCACTGCTTGTAGCCAGCTTCTCCCCTTCCTCTGGCTGCAAACAGTGCACGCGCGTTGTCAGACTCTCTCCATCTCTCAAGGCACCGTTCCTGATGCTGCTCTACAGTCTCATCACACAGACTTGGTTATCTGCAGTCAGTGTGCAAGCGGGGATGGGGGTGGGGAAGCCTGACACCAAATCATTTCTATTTCCTGCTCTAGCCCCAGTATCACTAATTGTGTTATGGATCCCTTATCATCATCACCAATGTGGGATCCTAAACAAAGCCTTGCAAACTTGCCGTTTCTGGACAACACACAAATATAAAGCAGATAATATTTGCACCTTAGAGACTGACCGAAGTAGATACAGACAGACAGACAGCTCGAGCTTTGTGGGCTGAAGCTCGCAATGAACAAAATCACCTGACCCTAGAATAGAAAGAAAAGCAGTCCTTGATATCCTACAGCCTGCCTGCACCTGTGAGAAGCAAAATTTTGTGGGGCTGCCTTAACATAAAATTAAGGTTCCTGGTGCAGTGTCCCTTTTATCCAACTGATGGACAAAACCGTGCATTTTGCCCTCCCGCGTAAAGTCCATAGTTAAAAAAGTCCTCTTAGCTCTGCAATGGGGACAATCAGGGACCCCACAGGGCAGTTTGGTTTGTCTATCCTCAACAAGGCACACGAAAAAGATGTTAACATGCGCTAGTTAGCCCATCTTTTACATCCTGGACTAGAAGAGGCTTTTAATGAGTCACTTTTCAGAACAGAACTAACGCAGCTGATGTTTCTACACTGCTCGTTTCCTTCCACTGACCTCTGCAGAGAGTCACATGATTTTTGGTTCAAAGAGCTCCCATACTTCTGCCCATTTCCAACATGCATTGTTTCAAAGATCCTCATTTCTAACCATTATATATAGATAAAAGCCTTAATCTGTCTGTCTGTCCATAACGCTTTATTTGCGCTCTTCTGAAACAACCAATCAGGATGCTGCAAGGGCATTTGGGACCAGAGGCGGTGGCCAGAGCACCGCCATGATGATGGGGATGGAGCAGACCGAGCGGTGGGGGGCAGCAGCGGTGACCTCGCCCCCCCAGCTCCTTGGAGGCAGCAGCAGCAGCGGGTGGACTGGGCCCAGACCCCAAATGGCAGGGAGGGGGAAGGGGAGGGGGGGACCAACCCCGGGTCCATGGGAAGAGAGGGTCCTGGCAATGGGGCTCCTCCCCCCCTCGTCATTCTTGACAGGCAATTTGCTAGTTTTCTAATAACAGAGCTTAGGCCATTTTTTTCCAGACTTTGAAAAACCAGAGGGGCATAATCCTTTACCCAGAGGTTTCCTCTTCAATCTCTCTACTTTAACAATTTCACAAAGACTGAGAGTGAACAAGTTGACCCAGCAGGGCTGGGTTTTATTTCTTTGTGTTTACCCGCTTCTATATAATTGCTCCATGTGACCTGCCTTGACAGAACCTAGCGTTGTCTTCAAATGCCGTTGTAAATACACCTTCCGCTTTGCAGGCAGTTGAGAATGTGCCCGGCCCACAGAAATTTCCCTGAAAAGTTTGGCAGTTGAAGTTACTGTAATTATTGGAAGCCCTTTTAATCACGACCCCGTATCTAAGTATCCTGCTCTCACCACACCTGCTGGACTGTGCAAGAGCCTTCAGCAAACACGGCTCCTTTCCTCATCTCTTCCACACAGCAGCTCAGGAAAATAGCTTGCATCAAAGAGCTCCCTCTTTGGCTCTGCTAGAGGCTGACTGCAGCACCTCCAGCTGCTCAGTGTGACACCCCCAGAGAGCATGTTTGATCAGGAGTCAGCAGCATATAACCGTATCCTTTTCCCCCATTTACATGTTCACACATCTGGTCTACTAATTTTCGCTTGACTTACAGTGAAACCTGTTTAAGACAGAACCTGTAAAAATGGGAAACCTGCTCAAGGCAGAAAATTTCTACAGCCCAACTTGCCTGATTGTCCCCAAGCCTCTTTCTGTTCCTCCCCTTGCACTCTGTAGTCCTTTCCCCATATATACTCCCAAGTTTCTTTTACAACAGCCAAATTTTGTTTTGCTTCATATGAGACAATATATTCAGTTTTAATGAGCTAATACATATTTTCAAATAAACTGACTATAGCCAAAAGGTTTTGATAAACCTCCCATTTATCAAGCATGGCAGGAATAGGATATGGAGCATGAAACAGGTACTCAAAAACTGGTACGTGCTGAAGCAAGACACTGTATGCAGCAGAGTGGGGACTTGGAGCCATGAGAGCCTCTGAAGCAGCTAATTCTTCTGTGGGGAAATGCATTGTTTTAAAATTTCTGAATTAAGGAAGGACTCCTTAGGGTAATCTCTTTTATCAGACCAACTATGTAGTAAGAGTTAGACAAGCTTTTGAATGCAAGGCGTTCTTCATCAGGTTACCTGACAAAGAGCATCTTCACTTGGAAGCTTGCCTAACTCTACTACATAGTTGGTCCAATAAAAGCTATCACCCTAAGAAATCCTTACCTCTTGCATAATTTCTGGACCATTACGGTGACAACATTATCCTTACATTACCACACTAAATTCAGGAAGTCAGCCACAGCGATGATCCAGTACAGTTTTGTCAATCAGAGCATGGCCTAAGTCAGACTAAAAACTGAAGAAAACATAGGGCTGTTCCCTGGGTGCAGGCTGGCCAGACACACGGAGAGGAGACAAGAGCTGATTGTTGAGACTCAAAGAAGGCTGGCTTGGACAAAACACTTTCCCTTTCCAAAATCTACAAGGCTCTCAGTGAAAATCTTCACTTTCCAGAACAACTCGATTTGCTTTGAATAGGCAGTCGAGTCACAGTATCCATATACAAGATGACACCACGACAGCCCTCTCCCTGTTGTCCCCATGGCTGTTCCTGGGGGCCCGGGGCCCAGAACACTGGCTCTTACTGGTGTTCTAGCCACAGGCTGGCTGCCAGCGTGCAGACAAGAACACATGCTCTCATAGCCCAAGCAATATTAAAATGGCCCTGCCCATGACCAGAACACCAGGCGGGGGGCATTGGCACAGCCAGCAGAGCTGGATCACTGTTGGCTGTGGCACCCAGACAAGAACAGCCCCCCCTCCCCACCAGTCCCCTTGATCAATGGTACTGGGCATGGGGCAGCACTCCCTGACAGCTCACTGCTGGGCAGACTATCAGGGAGCCACAGGGAGCATGTGCCTCTGTGCCCTCTAAAAGATGGAAACCTGTCCAAGCCAAAATGTTCTCCTGGTCTGCTGTGATACCATCTCAGGCAGGTCTCACTGTACTTCATTTGTGCCTCTGCTGCAGTAAGTTGACTTTAAGAGACCTTTAGAGGAATTCATTAATACTCTTCTTAAGGTTTCCCATTCAGATTGTTTTGCAAAACTATATTTGACAGCTATCTTGAGACATTTCCTCCACATCCTCACAGGAACTGGCCTGCCCAGAGGCCCAAACCAACACCCAGAAACTGTCCACTGACTTTAGCATAAACTTGAGTGATCCCCATTTGGCACCACTCCATCTCCGCAGATTTTGCAGATGCCTAAAAACACTTTTCAGAACTTTTTTTAAAAGAAAGACACGAGAGAACCTTTCAGTGGATGAGAAGGATCTAAGATCTTATTGGAAATGTCATTTAAAATTAGTACGTCAAAACATCTATTTGAAAAAAAAGAGGAATACGATCTGATAATCATAATATTACATTTCCAATCTTAATGAAATTTATGCTGGACAGAACCTCTTCCCCACTGGCCCCATCCATGCTGTAAGGAAAATGCCATCACTGTACCAGTAAGGCAGAGGAGAGTGGTGGTGGTTGGTGACTCCCTTGACCAGGGGACAGAATCATCAATTTGTTGTCCAGGGATCTGGGAGAAGTCCTATTTGCCTGGAGCCTATATTCAGGGTATCACAGAAAGTTGTCAGTGCTCATACATCCCTCAAACCCCCTTCTCTGCTTGTTCGTGTAGGCCAGGGGTAGGCAAAATACAGCCCACAGGCAGAATGCGGCCCACCAAATGGTTTTACTGGGCCCCTGGCTGCTCTTCTGAAAGAGAGCTGTATCTGGCCTGCAGCTCCCGTCTCTTGGCGCCGCTTGCCCTGCTCCCTTCCCCATGCCAGCCAGCTGCGGCAGCAGCCACCCTGTCCTGCCCGCCAGCCCCATGTGTAAGCTACAAGGCAAGCGGGGCGCTGAGCTCCTGACCAGGCTTCTGCCTGGTGGGGCTGTCTGCATACCGCTGTGTGCCCGGTGAGTCGAAACTCAGGTAACGATCTCCCTGTTGGCGGGGGAGCAGGTGCAGGGGAAGAGGGCCAAGAGCTGCAGGTTATCCAGTCTCTGCCGGGCTGGTGCCTGGTAGGGGGCCAGGCACCGGTGCCATACTGTGTTCCCACACACTGCTTCGGGCTGTGCCATGTGGGAGCAGCTGGAGCAGCTCCTGCCCAACCCTGAGTCCCTGGCACACAGCCCAGCCAGGTTAGGCTGGAGCCGCAAAAGCTGCACTGACACGGTCCAAAGCAGCATGTGGGAACACAGCATGGCACTGACCTAGCTGAGCCCAGATGACTCACAGGTCCCGGCCTGCTTCCCTCACCACAAATCCTAAGCACATGGTCAGGTTGGGCAGGAACCATGCCAGCTGCACTCATATGCCCCAAAATGGCGCGTAGGAACATGGCCCGGCACTGGCCAGGCTGTGTGCTGGGGGAGGGAGTACAGGGAAAGGGGGTGAAACACAGCACGACACTGGCTTGGCTGGGTCCCCACCCCTCTTCTTCCTGCACTCCCTCCCCCACCCCGAGTCCCTGGCATGCGGTCAGGTCAGGCAGGAGCCATGCCAGCTCCACCCAAGCAGTCTGAGCTGGCACGTAGGTATATAGCATGCCACCAGCCCAGCCACGTGTTGCGGACTTAGGGCAGGGGTGCAGGGAGAAAGGAGGAACACAGGGTAGGTTCGCCTAACCTTTGTTCTCTCTGCCCAGAGGTGGGCAATTATTTGGACTGGAGGGCCACTTCAGGAGTTTTGGTGAGCTGTTGTGGCCGGGGCAGGAATGGAGGTGTTGATCCAGGCCGCAACAGCTCATGTAAACTCATTAAGTGGCCCTCCAGCACAAATAATTGCCCACCACCGATGTAGGAACTAACAATACTGCCAGGAATGACTCAGAGAAGATCAGAGGAGACTACAAGGTTCTCACAGCAGGAGGAGTAAGACATTTGGAGCATAAGTGGTGTTCTCATCAATCCTTCTGGTGGAAGGTAAGGGCCAAGACAGGAACCATCATATCACAGAAGTAAGGTGGTATCAAGATAAAGGCTCTGGATTCTTTAACAATGGGCAGATACCCTGGACAGGAGGAGTGCTATCAAGAGATTCGATCCATCTGACCAAAACTAGGAAGAGCATCTTTGGGCGTAATTCTGGCCAACCTAGGAACTCCTTAAACTAGGCTTCAACTAGCTTCTATAGGGGATGGTGAACAAAACCTTCCAGGAACAAAGCAAAAAACCCAGAGGGGAGAGGATTGGAAGAAGAGGCTCAACTCGGTGAAAGATCCAAAGAGCCACAGAACAGCAGCAAGTGATACAAACGGGATATGAATAGGAGAAAAGTAAAATATAGCTGACATATGTACACAAATGCGAGAAGTATGGGGAACAAATAAGAGAAGCTGTAAGTCACAGCTAGTGAAAATAACTATGATCTGATTGGTATCGCAGAGACTTACTGGGACAATACTTACAAATAAACCATGAACACTTGAGGGGTACACTTTGTTTCAGAAGGACAGGATTGGGAGAAAAGATGATGGTGTTGCCTTATGTCAAAAATTCATACACTTGTTCCCTGGTTCAGGAGGAAGTAGGTAGCAGACAGTAATGTATTTGAGTGAAAACAAAAGATGAAAGGCACAGTAGTGACGTCATAGTGGGGATTTATTGTAGACCACCAAATCAGGAAGAAGTGGATGAGGTACTCTTTAAGGAGATGACAAGGTAGTCCAAAAATTATGAGATGGTAGTGACAGGATACTTCAATGTTCTGGACATCTGCTAGAAGAATAATACAGCAAAACACAGAATATCAAGCAAGACTCTTGTAAAGACCAGGTCATAAGCAGCTTGGCCTAGTAGTTGGGCCACTGGGGAATGGCAGGAGCCAGGAGCAGTCCAAATCGCAGGCCAAGGTCAGAGGTCAGGAATCACAACCAAGTTACCAGATCCAAGGGGGAAATCCAGAGGCAGAATCCAAAACAAGCTGAATCAGGGTTCAGGAGTCAGCGATGGAATTACCAAAGCTGAATGGAGTTCCCAAAAACCAAAGTTTAGAGGCAAAGCTGAGCAGGGTCAGAAGTCAGAAAACTAGACAGCATAGGATCCAGGGAGGCTTACCACAGCAGACCTTCAGGAAGAACTGTTAGCTGGTCTCCAGTCTGCTGCCACAGGTGGACTTGAATGGGGAGGCTGCTCTACCCAGAAGCCATTCAAGAAGCCCTAACAGTGGTCAGCTGGTTCATCCTCCAGGGCGGGCTACCAGGTAGAACCTCCAGTAGGTTTGGCCAACTAGACAATTAGTCCTGGCTGAACTGCCTGTTAGGGCACACAACATAACTAACGTGTGGAAGATAACTTTCTGTTCTGGAAAACTGGGATATAACTAGGGGATCTGGTTCTTGTCTTAACCAATAGGGAAGAACTGGTGGAGGATGTGAAGGTGATGCAAGGAAACAGTCATGAGATTGTACAATTCATGATCCTGAGACAGAAAAAAACATGAGATCAGGAGAAATAAGACACTGGATTTCAAAAAGGTGCGTTTCAATCGAGTTGAGGAGACTCGGTTCCATAGGAGCACATGGTGCCACAGGGGCACAGACTGAAGGATAAAGGGATTCATGAGGACTGGAAGCTTCTAAAGGGCACAGTACTGGAAGTCCACCAAAGAGAAGAGCAAAGAGCAATGTGGCTGTACAAGGATCTTCTAGGATCCCTCAAAAGCAAGAGGAAAGCATATAGGCAGTGGAGAGATTGGCAGGTCACCAAGGAAGTGTACCAGGAAGTAGCAAGAGTTTTCAGGGACAAAATCAGGGAGGCAAACATAAAAAACAAGCTTTACCTGATGACGGACATGAAAGACAAGAAGAGGTTCTACCAGTATGTCGGCCAAAAAGGAAAGACCACAGAAGCTGCTCATCCACTGTCCACTTGCCTCAGCATCCACAAAAGAATGAAGCTGCTGCCAGACAGCTGACAAGGGTTATTTAGATAAGGAAGGGGACAAGCTACTTTAGAAATAGGTCAGACAATGACTTGTATGGGATGGTGCAGGTAGGGGTGATTCTCCCTTGAGCAGGGACTCAGGCTAGATAACATCTGGAGGTCTCTTCCGGCCCTGCTTTCCTATGATTCTATGTCAGGAAGCAGGTGGGTTTTTTATTGCAAGTTATATGGGATTTTCTTTTCAGGGTCCATCTCAGCATGTAGCCTGAAGTTACTATTTTAGTAAGTATCTTATGAATGCCACCCATTACACATTAAAAAAACAGGTTTTTCACAGTTACAGTTAGCAGAGAAATAAATGAAAACCAAACACCAGATCTGCAGTGTGTTCAGAGTCCAATGTCATACTCATTGGATCACGGACTCCCATGACGAGCCTTGTCTACCTTTCCTGATTTTCTGATCACCCACATACAAGTTTTTCAAGTTTCAGCAGCTCGTTGTACTCAAATTCAAGAACCCCAGCAGCCCAGGTCAAGATCCAACAGCAATTTTAAATATACACCTTTCATTCAAGCCATTCACAACTTGCCTAACATCCCTGTAGCTGAAAATATTTCATACGCAGTACCTATCCAGAAATTATTTTTTAAGATTAAAAATAGCATTTCCTCAGCTGAATGAATTAAGGATGACGTTTGTACCCTCCGCTCCTGGACAGATCTGGAGCAAAAATGGTTTAGTTGGTTTGTATTCAAATTTAAGGAAGAAAACAAAGTTATGCTTAGTATTTATTATTTGTTTATGCAGATCTTGCTCAGAGTGAGTTATATATTAGTATTCTGAAGTCATCGTATTTGCAGTTCCTAAGATAACACCTCTTTACTTGGGATACAGCTATTTGGGCAGAGACTGCATTTCCCTTTTTGTTCTCACAGCATCCAATAGGCCCACTGGAAATTAATTATGACAATCCTTTTTCCAGTATACATCTTCAAATGCTGCATTTAGAGAACAATGGCCTGGCTCCCAGGCGGTGACTTGCCTGCTACAATGGGATGAGCAGTTTTAGAAACAGCCAAGAAATGTAGGTGAACATCCATCCAGGCAGTTTATACAGAGATTACTCCTGTACTTCCACCAGAAGGCCCCACATTTTAGGGCCTTGTTACATGTTACGCTGATCCACACACATGTTGGCGGGTGTAAATGTTAGCTGGAGTTGAGAGCAGTGTAGAGCAGTCTCACGTTCAGGCCAGCAGGGGCCGGAAAGACTGAAAGGTAAGACTCTGCCCCCTCCCATTCTGGGCTTCCCCCCTGCCCCTCAGGGTTCCCCCCAACTCCCTCTCCCCCATTTACTTGTGGCTGCCCACACTGTCTGTCTTGAGGGAGCAGCCAGGGAAGGGTTAACCTGCCTGCCCTGCTGGAGCAGGGGCAGGGGCTGGGGGGGGCCAGTGAGCAGGGATCTGGGGTACTGGGAAGGGTGGGAGGGCAGTGGGCCCAATCAAGGCCCACCGTGGGGAAGGAAACGGGGGGTAAGGGGGCAGGTGGGGTGTTTAGCCTCTATACTTCCTGCCCCCCACTTCCACGGGGACCCTTTGATCCCTTCCCCCAAACCCAGTTGGGTAGGAGCTGCCAGGCACAGGGTTTGGGCAATTGTCGGTCCAGCCCAGACAGCCCCAGTCTTGAACTGGACCCGGGGCTTTCCTAGCCAGGGTCAACAATCAGCCTCAGCCCCAGACTGCACTCGAGCTCCTGGTATGATCCCGCGGGCCAAGAATCAACCATCAGCTGATTGTCAGCTGCACAGTTGCCCCAGCTAGACCTATGAGCACTCCTCTTTCGACTTGTCAGTGCAGGGGGAGCCGAAGATTATAATCCTAGGCTCAGCAGCGAGTAGTACTGGTGCAACTGGGCTTTAAAACTTGATCCCAACAATCATGCCTCCTCCCAGGCATGTGTGGCGTTGCAAGAAGCACAACTGTTGGGCTCGAAGATCAGATTGCATCTCATCATTAAATGAATGCATACCTAAAGCAGGGACCTGAAGCAGACAATTATACCCAGAGAGGAAAACTGAAACAGAAGGGATAAGTGACTTGTTCATAAAAAGTAAAGCCAGAACTAAAATGGGGAGAAGCAAGAAAAAGGTATTGAAGCTGAAACCTGCTTTCGGGTACATGGAACCCACAGGGACAGGACTGGGGCTCATGTGTGCAATATGTGACCTGTCTAAATTAGGGTTACTATACCAATGCAAACCCTGCTGCTGTGCTGCACCAATGGAATCCAGGGTTGATGCTAGGATGGCTTACTCCAGTTTCATTAATGGTAAACTGCACTGGTTCCAGCCCCACTTTTCACTAACTCAGCAAACCTGCTCTTACGATTTCCTTGAATTCGCCCTCTTGGTGCACCAGTAGAAGATTCTACCTTTAAGCAATGGCAAGCAGTAGTCAAAATCAGTTGCTCACCTAAGTAGCTCCGTTTAGATTACAGTAAGCAGTATTTTTCTTTCTGAATACAATAAAGATGTGAAATGTTCAAGTTCCATGTCCAGTTATACTAATTCATCATGATTGTATATGGTTGCATAGTAGTGTTTTTTGTTAGATTGCTTGCTAAGTGTGTAATTTAATATGCATGGCGTGCAGCATGGCTGAAGTAACAATGCTGCTGGAATCTTGACTTAATTTGACTTGTAAGGTTGGATAAGCACAATTTATGTCATGGAGGCAAGGGTGCTGAATATTCATGGCTTGCAAGAAAATCACCTGCGACTGCAAACACACTGTCCCAAATCCTACTCTACCTCTTAAAATGTCTGGTGCGTTAAACATAATCCTGTTCTAACCTGTGCAGCTGCTACAACGCTGTTAAGATGCCTAGATTCTATATGCACCTCTCTTTGGCCCCAAAAAAGATCCTTATGAGGATAGACTAGCATGTTCACAAGGAAGCTGAATCAACATCTAAACATCTACCCCTATATCTAAACTCTGCTGCTATCCAGTTCTATTCTGAAAGATGCCAAAACCCCATGCAAGTCCCAATTCCTTTAGATCAGGGTCTGAAGGGCCCTCATTAGATCAAGGGCCAAAACTGGCCCAAGGGTTCCCCATAGAGTCAGAAATTCGGCAATGGGAGAGCAGTGGCACTGCTCTGCCAATGCCAAATTTCCAGACCCATGGGGAAGCCCAGGTCCCACGCACTGGATCAGGTGCCTCATCCCATTGCACAGGACCCAGCAGGAACAGTGTTGGCTTCAGATCCCAGGGCCCAGTCCCAGCACACAGGGAGCCATGAGTGGATGATGCTGGGCCCTGGAGCCCAATC